AACCACTTAGAATCAGCCTTGGTATGTGGGAAGGATTTGATACCTGCTGCTCGTTACCTTAAGAAATGGGGTCTAGTGAATTCCGCCAACTTGTCTACTGACTAAAACTCCGCCACCACCATTGCCTGCCTTCTCCTTTGTCTAGGCCACCCATCCAGGCTCTCACTGGGATGAACATGCATGATAACAAGGACCATCTACTAGGCCAATGGCAGTGAGTCCATCTAACCCTTGCCTTTTGCCAGCGAGGACACTGAAGCCCAGAGAGGTTGCCCAGTTCAACCTACAAACTCTCACAACTAACTAGAGGCCCAGCGGCTATCAGATCTAGGGTCTTCACATTTAGCCCAAGAGCTGTTCTGTAGAGGCCCGCAACATGGACCATTAGCCCATCTTCTCGTCCCTCTCATGTTAGACCCCACCAAGAAACGCAAGTACCTCACATTGCTTGTGTTGGTGGGAAGTGGGGGGTGGGGGAGGACGCAACTTCCTAAAAGATGTCTATTTCCAGCCTTTATGGATGGTCTACTCTCTGCAGATTCACTAGGGCTAACGGACTGCTGCTGCATTTGAGACACTTTGCACAGTGTTGCTTGGTGGTTGCCATGACAACGAAATGTAATAGAAATAGGTTTTTCTAGAGGCTTATGCTGGTGGAGGCTTTAAAGCAGCTAGATTACGGTCATGACTTTGAAGCTTAAAGGATCTCAGCGAATTATGCTGGCACACAGTAGGTACACTGTGATACTGCGGAAAAAAAATGAACCCAGGTTTTTCACTGAGTAAGAAGATGGGACCTCAGAGATCTAAGCCACTAAAGTGAGCCTTTGTGGCCATGTGGAACAACTTTCCTCAGTACTTCCTTGAAAAAAGATGGCAGCGAATTTTCATAATTAAAAACATGATGTGTGGGAAATGATTTATTCGACCCTCAAGGGCTGTTTCTGACTCTTTTTTTTTCTGGGGTAGGGGTTCGAGACAGGGTTTCTCTGTCTATACCCTTGGCTGTCCTGGACTTACTTTGTAGACCAAGCTGGCCTCAGATTCACCGAGATCCACCTGCCTCTGCCTCCCATGTGCTGGGATCAAAGGTGTTCGTCATCGTGCCCAGCCTGTTTATGCTGTTGGGCTACTTTATGAGCGTTGTTGCTCAGGGGGTCACGGTGCAAGTGTCAGGAGTCTGGCCCTGGGTTCCTTCCTGGCCTTTAATTTGACATACCTAGCCTATGGAGGGTAGTCAGCATGTTTAGTCAGCCTTCCTTCCTGGCTGTTCTTGAAGCAGCCATGGACTCAACTAAGTCATGCCTCACCCAAGTTGCACCGGGCCCTCGTCACCTGGCTCAGATCCCTGAGCTCCTTTGACTCTGCTTCTTCCTCTTTGCCTGGGAACCGATGTGGCCCTGACTTTCTGCTGGTGGAGGAGCAATCACTTATGGATTGGTGCTGGATAGGCCAAGCTTCCAAAGAGAGTACCCGACAAGGCCCAGGCTCCCATTGGACAGAGAATGACACTGTATCAAGCATCTCGTCTTCTTTCTTTCTTCCTTTTCCCCTTTGTCTCTCTCTTGCTGTCTCCCTGTCTTCCCTGCCTGGTTGTCATTCCACTTATCTTTATTTCCCATCTCCCCCTTTTCCTGACTACGTGGCAATGAAAAGTGGGAGGTTTCAAGAGTCAGACTCCAACAGACCCAGGCCGGTCTATCTCTCATTCTCGTGTGCATGACTCGCGTGACCTCAAGCAAGCCTCTCTCCATGCCTCGGAGCATCCTCTCTTGGCAACACAGAGCAGCCAGCATTTGTCTCTGACCATTCTTGTAGCACTGGAGCATCTCAAACTTCAGAAGTCATGAGAATTCCTAAAGAGAAGGGTCAAAATGCCCACGAGTGCCAACTGACTCCTACAAGGTGACTTTGCCAAGTTCCTGCCACTCCAGCCCCACAGGTCCCAGTTTAAGAAAACACTGATTATGTACATTCGTGTGTAGTGGACTAAGATACATTGTAGCATAAGTACATTTGTGAGCTATGATCATTATTTAGTTAGCACACGTGTATGCCCCATGTACCAGGGATGATACCAGGCCCTGTAGGTACTTCCTACTTAATTTCTTTTAAAGGAGTATAGTTTTTGTGTGCTTTGCTGTTCCCCTTCCAGCCCCCACTAATCACAGGCTCGTAAAGAGAAGGATAAAACGGCACTGTATGAGTGAAATATTAAAAGACAAACTTTAATGCTGATTCTATAATTTATGAGGCATACAGTGACAGGCAAGTGATTTTACCCCTTGGAACCATTTTTTTCTTCACGAAAACTGGAGAAGTGACGAAGACAATGATTAAGTGAATACAGTTTATAGTCCTAGTTCTATTGTTTACTAGGTACGACCTCAGAAAAATGACTTAATTTTTCTTTGAGCCTCAGCTTTCTTCTGTTTAGAAAAGGAGCTCATTTGTTCAACACTGAATACTTCTAGAAATATTTACTGAGCCTGGGCAAAACTGTGCCGGGTACTGGAAATGTACTGGTAAGATAGGGCCACCAGCTCATTTGGCTTAGAATGTAACAGTAGACAGAGATATTACGTGAACAATTACACACATAACCAGCAAAATTTTGTTGTAATTCATTGTACATCCATGTATATTGCTGCTCTATTCATGACAGCAAGGACACAGGACCAGTCTGGATGTCTAGTAACTGGTGAAGCATACGAAGAAGGTAGTACAGATACATGATTCAATATCGTTCAGCTGTAAAGAAAGTGACATCACGACATTTGCAGGGAAATGGGTGGACCTGGAAAGTATATTAAGCAAAGTGACCCAAACTAAACCAGAAATAAACCAGATGTTCTTCTTCATAAGCAGGTGCTAGAGCTGGGATCTGAGGACCTGAAAAAATGGGGTGAACTATAGGCTAATGCTGTAGACAACTTTACTTCAGTTTCAGTGTACTTTCACACACAAATGCAACAAAACAATGATCTACAGAGGGGTGTTTGAGTTCAGAAAACATGTCAATAAATGCCACTAAGCACACGCTAACTATTAACAGAACAGCCATGTCCCAGAACTTTCTCAGGACAGACCAATTTAAACACAATTGCCTGGCACAAAGTATAGATTCTATCTGGGAAAGCATGAAAGCAAGGAAGAAGGTTGTATCCAGATTCAGGGTCCACTGACCAGATTGTGTTCTACAGCTATCTTCTGACATCCAACAAGAATAAATATGTCTTAAAATCGAATGTGTTTGTCACAGGAGGAAAAAATCACATCCAAGAACAATCCAGGAAACAAAATGCACCTAAGCGAGGGGAGGAGGGGAACAAAGGGCTTCCCCATTTCCTTCCCTGGAGCCTCTCCCACAGTTCCCCAAGGCATTTATTCTTTTCTTTTGACTACGTCCCAATCAAGGCCATACTATCAATTAGGCAGGATGGGATACAGGCACAAAGTTGTTTTTGTTGTTTTAAAGTTTCAACTCTGTCATAGATTTTTTTTTTTTTCCTTTCATTGTGGACCTGCTAACTCAACTTTTGGATATGGAAGTAGCAAGAACTTTAAATGCATCTGGAAGGATCTAACATGCCTTATTCCCTTGAGGCTGTGGAAGCTGGCTTTATTTCAGAGTCGCTGACCTTTAGTGCAACATGAAGTACTCATGGCCTGTCACTGACTTCTGTCACATTGGCCTACTTATTTATTTAAAAAATTTACTCATGAGGAAGAGGTTTTTCTTTTTTTTAACCTGAAAAGATTTCCCCTCTTTATTTCTGTTTAAAACTATATCAGATCATTCTATCAGGGTGTTATTTAATATGGAAATTGTATTGCTCTATATAACATATAGTTTAATGAAGAATTTGATAACATTTATGCTATCGTTAGGAAAAAAAAAGCCCCATAAGTCGGCACGCTTTCACTTGAAGTGGAGATACTTCAGGACCAAGAACGGTGAACAAGTTGTTTTGTTCTTGGGAGAGGGCTGAGCCCTAAACCTTGGTCTCCCACAACCCCCCAGATCACAATCTGCATCAAGAAGACCACTACACTCACACTCTTGGCTGTATGCATCCTCTGGCTAGACCTCTTTTTATTTTTTTAGCTTAATAAATCATTGGAATAAACGCCCTTTAAAGAGTGACCTAGAACAGTAACTTCAATGAAGCATAAAATTTTCCAAGAGAGCAGGCCACAGCGCAGCAGCCAACACCCATTTCGTGGGAGCGCCGGTTTGCTTCTGCTTCTCTGAATTTTTAAGGCATGCAGGCACCTCTCATCAAATTATTAGTAAGTATCGATGAAATAATGTTGACCACAGTAGCTGATTTTTGCCAGTGTTGGTCTTCTGCAAGAGTACTATGAGCTCTGAGCTTGCTGGGCCACCTCTCTGGCCCCTCAGTGCAGGCAAAATAAAACACAAAAACCCCAACCAGCTGAAACTTCATTAAGAAATGACACCTCTCAGGAGCTGGTGTTGGGGGGAGCATCCCCTCAGAAAGAAGGCCTCAGGGTGCTGCATTTAAGTGTAGGTTAACTTCTGCGCTTTTACTAGCCTGAGGTCTGTTTAACTTAACTCCCAGGCACTACCTTCCAGGGCTGGAGTCTGCCAGTCCTGTGGTGTCTCCTTGCCAGGTTGCCTGGATGAAGTTAAAACACAAACAGCAGGCCCTTCCTTCTGGAAGCTCTTTGCAGGGGCTGGCCAGCCAGGCTCCATCTTCAAGCCCACTTCCCCTGTCCCCCGCAACTGGGAAGCACTTGCCTGGGCCTGCAGCATCTCAGCTGGGCAAGGCTGGCACGTGTCCCCGCCTCCCTCCCCAGGGACCATCCTGCATCCCTCCCTGTGATGTCAGCAGAATCCTGAGCCGGATTGAGGGAAAGGCCCACGATCTCCCGCTAGAGGGGCCCAGATGGGGTGGACCCAGGGGTGGCCGCCCGGGGCCGGGAGCGCCAGCCTCGCGACCCCGGGCGCCGCCCCCGTGTCCCGCCCGCGCCACGCTCCGCCCCGGTCGCCGCTCGTCCCGCGTGGGAGCCGACCCGGCTCAGCCTGATTTACGGCTCTGCTGAAAACCGCTCGCGCGGCTCCCCCAGCATCAGCACCGGTGGCTGCGGCGGCAGCAACAAGTCGGGTAAGTGGGCTCGGTTGGAGCCGTGCGCCCGCGCCCCTCCCGCCTCACCGCGGACACGCGGCGAGGGGGTCCCGGCTGCGCAGCGTCGCGGGGAGTCGGGACAGCCGGCTTCCCCGCGGCCACCTGCACGAACTCGCGTGAGCATGGATGCACGCAGCCACGGGGGGGGGGGGGGGGGGGGGGGGGGGGGGGGCGGGCGTATGGAAGCAGGGACCCCAGGCAGGGGCTGCCTAGCCTGCCCAGCTCTGCACAGGAAATCGCAACCCTTTTTTGCTAACCTGTGCTCTGGGTTTCCGCTGGGCGGGTGAAAGCCTGGTGCTGTGGGGTGCGTGTTTTATCCCATCTCCCCCATGCAAACATGCCTCCCTTCCCACTGCCGCTCCAGAATCTTCTCTTCCTATCCCTGCGTCTCTTGCCAGAGTCTTCAGTCCTTGCACCCTATTAAACATCCCGGAGCAGCACAAGAAGGTTCCCCTTTGCTGGGGTCCGGAGACTTAGTAACCTGAGAAATATGCCTGCCTAGTGGAAGACCAGGCACCATTTCCATCTCAGCTTCTGGAGGCAGTCAAGGGTGTAACTCAGCCTCTTCACCCTAAGATGCTATCTGGGCTCCTTCCCGGTGGGAACCCGTGCTCCGTTTCCATTCTTTCAGGAAATAAGTACTGGAGACCCTTGCAAAATTGGGTTTTAACAGCCATCTGTTGCCAGGGCAAAGGTGACACACATGCAAAGGCAACAAGAACTTGCTGTTTTTGGAGGAGTTATGCGGACGCCCCGCCTGGTTCCAACACTCTAGAAGGTGTCATGCTAAAACCGGCGTCGGAGGCAAGGCAAATCTACTCGGAACGTTCTATTACCGTAGGACTTGTTTATATCAATATATTACCATGGCCCTGTTTATATCAAATGATATCCGACACACGGCGTTTCCAGATCTCAGTCGTGTCCAAGTGTTAGGGTAACGCTTTGATCAATGTCTTCACACCAGTAATTAAAAACATTGAAATTCTGAGCAGACAAGATGGCTCAGCAGGTAAAGTCGTGTGTCACCAAGCCTGATGACCTGAGTTCAGTCCCCAGGACACACACACACACACACACACACACACACACAAACACACACACACGGTAGAAGGAGAGAGCACATTTACACAAGTTGTCCTCAGACCTACACACACACATACACACGCATGCAGAGAGCAAATAAGGAATGCTACTTATTAAAAATAAAGAAAAAATACTAAGAAAAATGTGAGGTTGAAGTGTTGTCAGCTCATGGTGTGGTCGAAGCCACTGTGCTTAGTTAGCTTGATCCACCTCTCCCCAAACTTGAGGAAAGACTGCCAAGCTTGCGCTCTTCAAACCTATCTTGACAATTCATGTGACCCTCCCCAGGTTTTATATTCACCTGGGACACCTTTCGAAGTGCATTCCAAATTCAGGAGGACTGAATCACTCTCCCCCATACCTGGGGCTTATTATCTCACCCCCTTTGCTCTAGTTTTTTTTTTTTTTTTCATCTGCATAAGAGTGCTAGCCACCCCTGCTAAGCTAGGCTGGTGTTGGATTATGAATGCTTCTGCCTCTGCAGGCCCTGGCATCTGTATCCCACCTGAAGTGATACTTTGCAGCAGAAGCAGCAGACAACACAGAAGAGAGTGGGTGTGGCTGCATTTGGCAAAGGGGCTTACGTTTTGATTTCAACATAAAACTCAGTATTAAATACTGTTTGCGATAGTTGCTTCAAACCAAGAAGCCTGGACTGGTGTAGTCACTATGGAAATGAACATGGAGATTTCTCAGGAAACTAAAAATAGAATATCATATGACCCAGCTATACCACTCCTGGGCATATCCCCAAAGGGCTCTCTATTCTACTACAGAGATACTTGCTCATCCATTTTTATTGCTGCCCTGTTCATGGTAGCTAAGCATTCCAGCCAACCTAGGTGCCCACCAACAGAAGCGTGGGTAAGGAAAATACAGTACAAACACAAAATGGAATTTTATTCAGCTGTTAAAAAAGATGAAAGTGTGGTGTTTGCAGGAAAAACAAATGGGACTGGGCACTGTGTTACATGAAATAAGCGAGACTCAGAAGACAAGGGTTATGCTTTCTCTCAAACAAGGATCTTAGAATTTAAGTTGTGTGGGTATGTGTGTGTGTGTGCATTTGCACTTGCTTGAGTGGGTGCAGGTCATGAAAGAAGAGAGCAGGATAAAAGTTCACGAGGAAAGAGACGGGAGAGTAATAGAATGTGACTTGATCGTGGAGGTGGATATTGGGATGGGAGGAAGGGGAAACGTCTGGACAGGCAGACAGAGATGTGTGAGGGCACTGGGGAAGAGGTCCAATATGAACAAAGTAAGCCTGAAAGGACCACAAGGAAATCCCTTACTTTGCTCATTTAAAAAAAAAAAAAAAAAAAAAAAACTGATTAAAAACAAAAAAGCCACCCAAAGGCAGCCATCATTGCCAGCCAGTGCCATCTCAGTAGCTTTTGACAGACGTGTAAACTGGGGTCTTCTCCTCCTCCCAGGACTTTCAGAGGGATGCAACAGACGACTTTTGAAGAGAGCCGGTACCGTTGGCAGGACTCGCTGGAGAATGTCGCTGTGTGCCTGCCATTCCGCTGTCCGAGGTGTGGCGACCATACCAGATTCAGGAGCTTGTCGTCCTTGAGGGCCCATCTGGAATTCAGTCACAGCTACGAGGAGCGGACCCTCCTGACAAAATGCAGCCTCCTGCCTTCGCTCAAAGATGCGGAGCTAGTCCGGCCCTCAGAACTCCAGAAGCAGGGAAAAGTGCTTCGGGGCCATGCCAAGGTGGCCAAACAGAAGCCAAGCTATGTTAATTTGTACAGCATCTCCCACGGACACTCCAAGGACCCGAAACCCTTCGAGATGGTGGCGGAGAGGCCCGTGTCCTATGTGCAGACCTACACAGCCGTGGACATTCGGGCCGACTCCCTGGATGCTCCCCGATCGAGCCCTGGACTCCCCACCCAAGACACCAAATCGGCTTTCGAGGCTCACGTCAGAGAGAAGTTCAATCGCATGGTAGAGGCCGTGGACAGGACCATCGAGAAGAGAATCGATAAACTCACCAAAGAGCTGGCCCAGAAGACAGCCGAACTGCTGGAAGTGCGGGCGGCCTTTGTGCAGCTGACGCAGAAGAAGCAGGAGGTTCAGAGGCGAGAGCGCGCCCTGAACAGACAGGTGGACGTGGCTGTGGAAATGATCGCTGTGCTGAAGCAGCGCCTGACAGAATCCGAGGAGGAGCTCCTGAGGAAAGAGGAGTAAGTGCTGCTGAACCTGGATGCTAACCCGTGCTGGGGGGTGGGAGGCCCTGCCCCCTCCCCAAGGGACAAGCAGATGTTCAGCGAGGTTCTCTGTGCGTTATCTGCAAGCGTCTTGGCAGCCTTCCTCACTGGTTCGCTGGGACCAGGAGTCAGGAAGCTTTGCTGTCATTCACCTTCCTTGGATATGGTGGCCAGTGTGGCAGTGTTAATCTAATTAATGTCTTACTCCTGGCTACTTTGGAAACTGTCCCATGGGGGGGGGGTGTCAGAGAGCATGGTAACACAGCCTGTCCATAAACCTGCCCTCAGCGTGTGAGTATTACGTTCAATGGGAAGGCAGAATAACATGCTGGGAGAACCATTCTGCCACTGTGTGTGTAGATTACATAGTCAAGGACAAGAGGTGATGTCTCATTCTAGTGTTAAAACATGCTCCAAGTTGAACAGACTTTTCTTTCTTAAGTTGCAGTAGGTAGACTGTCCAGAAAAACTAAATACTAAAGGGAACTTCATCTGCTGTCACTGGATATTTATGTTCCCACTGAAGGGATGTCTAGGTACTTTTTGATCACGCTAGACATTTTAGAGATTGCGTAGTTGGGATGACTTTGAAAGCTGCCTTGTACACTGCTGTGACAACATGTCTGAGGAAAATAATTTAAGGAAGGAAAGGTTTATTCTGGCTCACAGTTAGAGGGCATAGTTCAGCATAGCAGGGAAGTCATGGCAGCGAGACTGGTTACATTGCATTTATAATCAGGAAGCAGAGAGAGAGAGAGCGGAACGCTGGTGCTCAGCTTGTTTTCTCCTTTTCACTCAGTCCTGGACCCCAGCCCATGCGATTGCATCGCTCATAGTTAATTAGTCTTGCTGACTGCGATTAATTTTAATTGTGAAGTGACTACGATTTTAAATTCATCTCAGTGAGGTTGGCTGGTGGGCATGTCTGTGGGGAATTGCCTTAACTACATTAACTAATGTGGGAGAACCCGGCCCACTTCGGATGGCCCCATTCCCTATGCAGGGCATCACAGACTGTAGAAAGTGTGTGTGGGTGTGGTAGGGAGGCTGAACACAGGAAGCTAGGTATGCATGCATCCATTTTTCTCTCTGCTCTTGACTGTGGATATGACTAGCTGCTTCAAGGTACCGCTACTGTCTTGATATGGTGGACTGTGAACTGGAATTGTGATCTAAATAAGTCCTTCCTCTCTTAAGTTGCTTTATAAAAATCACAGCGGCAGAAAGGGAACTAGGACAGCAGCTCAGATAAAACTTTCTGGAAATACTGTCATGGATACAGCATGAAGTGTGTTTCATGGTGATTCCAAATCCTATCCTGTTGACAAACCAAGATTAAGTATCAGAGCTCCTGACTTTCTTTGTTAGGATAAAGTGGTCTCTAATGAAGGCATCATTTTTGTTGTGGTGCTTTGGCCGCCAGTGCTTCCTAGTAGGATCCACAGAGGAGACCCGGCAGTGCTGGGAGATGTTAGATAGCAATGTTTTTAAGAGTAGAGAAAAGCCTAGACTAACTCCCCAGTGTCTTTGTTTGACTTAAAAGCAGTAAATTAAAAGGGTTACAAATTAATGCATTTATTTCTCTTTATGTTTTACAATTTGCTCATAGTGTAAATAGGAGCGGATGTGGGTTTATGGGTAGTGGCTGCGTAGACGGTGGAAGGGCGGCTAATAGAAAAGTGTTCGCATGGTCAGGTATCTGTTCTTGTCAAGGATTCACTTTCATTGGAGATGGTGGACTCAGCCAGTGATCTGAAGGAGTGGGTTAAGGGCTGGGAATGTACTCCTTTGGCAGAGTGTTTGGCTAGAATGCACAAAGCCTTAGGTTCGGCCTCCGGCACTCATAAAATTATTATGGTGCGTGCCTGTAGTCCTGTAATCTAACACTATGGAGGGAAGGCAGGAAGACCAGGAGTTCAAAGTTATCCTCAGCTCCACTGGAAATTGAAGGCCAGCCTAGGCTTCATGCGATTCTTTCTCAACATTAATTAACTAATTAATTAATTAAGAAGCAAATGTGATCCATCTGTGGATTGATAGGGATAGTTTTTTTTTTTTTGTTCATCCAGAGTTGCCACCCAAACAGAGGCTTGTGAAACAAGGTATCCTTCCAGATAGTGAGGTATCTGTTCTCTCTCCTTTCCAAGCCTCTGGAGACAGCACACACACACACACACACACACACACACACACACACACACACACACGCTCCAGACCTATCTCACGTTCACACATCCATTGTAACTCAAGGACACACCCCTGACAGCATCCTGACACATACCGCTGTGCCCTTTGACTTTAGAGAGCTGTTTATGCCTTCACGTGACATGCCTATCTGGTGTCTTTTGCACAGTAAACAGAGCTCTGCCATTCCTGCAGACTGGTGGCACATGATATTCCTTGGCATAGCTATAGCATGGTTGTTTTAACCAATACACCATTGAATGCGACAGTTTTCTAGGACAAAATATCCTGGGACAGGATATTTAACTCATTATATCTTTGTGTGAGTTATAATCTGGCATTTGTTTATTGTCTGGAATTTATGTCATTTGGATAAACATGCACGTGGCTCCTGAGCTACAGCTTTGTCTTCATTGATTTTTATTTATTTTTTTTTAATGTTATGTTTGGGTTGATAGAATAAAAAAGGCGTATTTAGTTTAAAGTAAAAAAAAAACCCACTTGGAATAAAAATATAGAGAACTTGCTTTAAACTTTCTAATATAAAGACATCATTTTTCTAAGCCTCCATTTAGGGCCATCTTGGCAGTTTCTGTATTCAGGCCTTAAATAAATACATTCTCTGTACATGAGTTGGAACTGAAAGGGTCTTGTTCCCAGGACGGACACTGGGTCTCTTGGTCCTAGTGCAACAAAGACAAAGACAGTGCCTTCTGTCCCTTGGTATCTGCAGAGCCTGGCCCTTGCCCTGCCTACCCCATCTCTGCCATCTGAATGGAAACACAGAGACAGCTGTCTGTCAACCACATCAATGCATCCCAGCTAAGTTGGTTTGATTGTGTTTGCCTGATTGGGTTCCTTCCCATGTTACCATTGCCTCAGAGGACTATATCTCCCAGAGACAAAGCACTTCTGATGGGAAAGATCCCCTCTCATCCAAAGAAACTTCTAGATAATTCCTAATAAATGTCCCTTTGTGAGTTCTCCAGGCTCTAGGGTCAAGGCTGAAAGTTCAATTCTGAGAGCATATAAGATTGTTACTGTCCCATTTGAGATTCATTTAAATCCGGGTTAACTTTAACATCCAGAGAGCAGATTTGGTCAAAACAAACAAACACATTAAAAAAAAAAAAAAGGCAAATGCATTTAGCTTTAAAAACACCTTTCACTGAAACAGAAATGAATGGCTCCAGGGAAAGATGGACATGGTGACATATCCTGTAGTCTTAGTACTTGGAAGGCCAAGGCTAAAGATTGCCTCTAAAACTTCAAGGCCAGGTGACAGCTTTAACTGTCAACCTTCAACACCCTAGAATTATCTGGGAAGGGAGTCTCAAATGAGTGATTGCTTACATATATCAGGTTGGCCTCTAGGTATGTCTGTGTGATGATTTTTATTGTTAATTAATGAATGAGGGCCTAGCTCACTGTGGGTGGCACCATTCCCTAGGAAAGGGACCCAAACTATATTATACCTGAGCTCAGGATAGCTGAGGATAAACCTGCCTGCCAGGAAGCAGCACCCTCTGTGGTTCCCGCCATACTTCTGTGGTAGTGAATTGAGTTCATTTTTTGGAGGAGAGGCTGCTATAAGCAGGCCTGACCTCACAGTTCTGTCTTGAGTTCTGCCTTGATTTCCCTCAGTGATGAACTTTGACATAGAATTGTAAACGGGAATAAACCTGTTCCTCACCAAAGGTGCTTTTGATCAAAGTATTTTATCACAGCAATGGAAGGGAAATGAGAACACTAAGCTGCAAACTGCATTCCAGGCCAGCCTGGGCTCTAGAATGAGCAAACTGAAAACCAAACCAGACAAAGCCCCAGAGTTCTCTGCAGGCTGCATCCACTCAGTTTACAGTGATTACATAGTCCTTAGCAGAGAAGGCAACTTAGACTTGGTTATCTTTTGCGCCATTGTCTTGGGTCTCCTTGGCAGGATATCCGTAGGCTCTGCAGAGCAAATCTGAAAACAAAGCAAAACAAAACAAAACAAAAAAAGAATTTGCTTGTCCTTTTTACAAAGTCAGTGTGACTTTAAAAGCCTCATGAGAGCCACCTTTACTTATTGACAAGCAGTGAGGGCTGCTGGGTAACACTTTCTCTAATCTGGTAAATCAATCCAGGCCACCTTGCAGTAAGGGATCCCTAACCAGAACGATGGAGTTAGATAGTCCCTCGGTTGTTTTCTTGGTAATTTAGTAACACCAAATTGATTACATGCCTTCAGCCAATAAACTTGTAACAGGGCTACTAGGCTACCTTTGATGTACCCAGTGTGGGGCTAGGAATGTCTGGAGAGCATCAAATCCTTATTTTCCCTCACAGTGTACATGCAGAAAGCATAAAGTATAACCCATAAGCATACCCTGTACAAACACGGGGACGGAGATTTGTTACATAGAGAGAGTGTGTGTGTGTGTGTGTGTGTGTGTGTGTGTGTGTGTGTGAGAGAGAGAGAGAGAGAGAAAGAGAGAGAGAGAGAGAAGGTGTATGTATGCAATTGTACTGTTGTTCTTTGGACACTGTTTTTTAAAATATCCCTTACTGGTCTGGAACTTGCCAAATAGGCTAGGCTGACTGGCCAGAAAGTTTCGGGGATTCTCCTTTTCTTTCCCCTAATTACAACAACCAAGTACCCCTACTTGTAAGAAGTGGGGGGAATCAAATTTTAAAATTCGGGAGATCAAATTTAGGTTCTTCTGTTTGCGAGGCAAGCACTGTACCGACTGGGGTGTCTCTTCAGTTTCCCCCCTCGTCTAGTCTATTTTTTTCCTCAGGGCTCTGTTGAG